AGTGTGGAGCAGCGACAAGGACCTGAGACGGGACCGGGCTCTCCCTTCCCCACTTTCTCCCAAGGCTACGCAGACGAGGAGGATTACCCGCCATGGACCTGGGACCCCACTTCGGGAGAGGACCTGGCCAAGAGGACCACCACCGCAGGGGTGCCTGGACACACTCTCTCCCGGGGCACCACCGGGCGCCCAGGGGCCCCCTCCCCAGCAACGAGGCGCCTTCCTGGCACAGGTGAGGGGCATAGCTGGGGTGGGGAGGGGGCCTCTGGAAACCTCTGTGCACCTCCCTGCCAAGCTTCCAGAAAGACCCTCCTAAATGAGCCTGGGTCTCAGAGACCCCAGACGGGTTTTCCTCAGCTCTGGAGATCCTAAAAACATTCCCTCCTTCGGTTTGACTGAACACTGTCCTCCAGGGCCGAGAAGAGACCCCCTCCCCCACCAGTGTTTGAAAACAGACCCAGCTCAGCAAAGCCCAGCTCAGCAAAGCCCAGCACCCACCCTCCAGTAAACCGACTGGAGCCCGTGCCCCTCGGTCCACAGCCTTGATGGAAATCCCCCCAGACCCCGTGGCTAAGGCCCACCCTGTCACCACAGACCCATTCTCCCAGAGCACGCTCTGGTCTGGGTTGGGCTATGGCTCAGAGGCTGGGTGGGGACATCTGGATGGAGGGTTCTGTCCCCAGCCTGACCTCCTTCCTCTGGCCAGTGGGGGCAGCCTCTGGCCCCCTATGTCTCACTGTCACCTGTTTCTCTCCTCCCATCTCTGCCACCTTGACCCAACTCAGCCCCACATTGCCGCTTTCTCTGCCCGTGTATGTGTATGTGCTTGTGCATGTGCGTTTGTGTGTATGTCTGTATGTCTGTATGTGTGTGTATCTGTGTGATCTCTGGTCCCTCCCTACTCAGGGTCTGTCTTGATCCACCTCTGATGCCACCTCACATTCTTTTTTCCTTTCAAGTCTCACCCTCATCTCTGTTTTTTTCACCGTCAGTTTCTTTCTCACCATCTTGCTCATTTTTTTTTCTCTCCTTGTCAAGTTCACAGCCCCATCAATTCTATCTCTGTGTTTTTCCACGGGCGACGTTTTGCCTTTTCCCCTCCACGTCTGGCTCTTTTTTTCTTTCATTTTCTGTTTCTCACCCCCTCCTCTGTTTCTATTTTTCTTGGTCAGTTTCTCTTCATCTCTCTTCTCCTGTGTCTTCCTCTTTTTCTATTTTCAGTTTCTCTCTCGCATCTTCTCTGTTTCTTACTGTTTTCATCTTTTCAGCTGTCTCTTTCCTTTCTCTTTTGCTGTCTCCCCCCGCTCGTCTCTTTGGCTCATTAGTCTCACCAAATTTCTGATTTTTTCTCTCCTTACCAAGTCCCCACTGCCATCTCCCCTACTTCCCACTGGTTTTCACGGCCCGCTTCTCTATCTCCCCTCCGCATCCTCCTTTTTCTTTCACTCTCGCTGCCGCGCCCTCCCCGCTGTTTCCCCCTCGACCCCCGCCCAGGCTCGGCTCTCCCCTCTCCTTTTTTCATCCTTCTGAGTCTCCCCCTCGCTGTCTCCCTGCCTCCCTCCACGTCTGCATGGCGGCTTCCCCCCCCTCGGGTCCCCGTGCGGCGGTCGCCCCCTCCCCCACGCGTCGCAGGTTCTGTTCCTCCTCCGCCTATCGCACCAACTGTGCTTCTCAGCCCTCTCCCTGCCCCTGTGTCCCCTCCATCCGCCCCTACGCCTCGGGGCCGTGTGGGTCGCCCCGCGCCCCTCCGCTCGCCCCTTCCGGTCCCTCGGTTGGACCCCGCCTCTCGCGCGCGCCGTTTCCCGCCTTTTCCGCACGCTCAGCACGCATGCGCACTCTGCGGGCTTCGGGGAGAGGGTGGAAGGGCAGACGTCACTCCGCATGTGACGTCACAGACGCGCTGCGCCTCCTGATTGGCTGGCTGGTGCACACCCCGGTCATAAAGGCGGGTGAACTGCACTGCGGTCCCGCGGGGCGGTGTCTTCGGTCTGACTTCGTCCTGGCGGGGAGGGGCGGGGTGGAGAGGCCTTGGGGTCTCTGCGGTTTGCGGTGGGGGCGACCGAAGTTGTGAGTTAGGGCTCAGTTTCCAGAGGTGGTGCAGCACACTGCACGTGTGGCCGGGATTCCAGAGCCATTGTTCTCGGCGACCCGGCGCCGCCTCCCTATCCCGTAGTGCCCCCTCGTGGCGGAGACGGTCAGACGCTGGGCGCTCGCACCGCTGAGGACGGCCAGGTCCCGCCCTCCGGGAGCCCCTCTTCCCGGTGGGAGAGAGGCGGTACATGAGTACAGATAAGTACAGAACTACAGACTGCGCGATGGAAATCTCAGGAGTCGCATGAACAACCTTAATAATGGGAAGACATGGTCAGGGAAGGTATAACTCAGTGGTTGAGTGCCTGCTTAGCATGCACGAGGTCCTGGGTTCAATCCCCAGTACCTCAACTAAAAAAAATTAATAAACTTGATTACCTCCCCCAACATGGCGCTAAATTAGGTGCCTTAATAGATCAAGAAAGAGACGACTTGTAGGGAGGGGCAGGGCACGGGGGAAACGACAGATCTGAATTCCTGTCTTCATTAGCAAGGTGACCTTGACTCCTTTGAAAAAAAAACAAGAGCTCCAGGGTCTCTGAAAAGAGTCAAGGAGTGCCAGGAATGTATGATTCCACCAACTGGATGGTAGATCCTGGTGTTGACCCTGTGTTTCCGGTGGGAAAAATGTGGCTCAGAGAAGTTAAACTTCAACTCAGGAGCCACGAGTGAGATCCATTTTAAACGATTTCACACACGATTTGCTCATTGGGTTGGGAAAGATGACTGAATTGCTGAAGTAATTAACAGCGTGAGTTCTGGAGTCCAGCTCCCTGGGTACCAGTTGTGGCCCCACTGGGATTAGAAGTAGCTGAATGACCTCAGGTCCTAATCCAATGAGCCCAATGTGTGTGAAATCATTTAAAACCGCAGAATGTTGGTTGTTAAGAGTTATTTACTGTAAACGAGCAACAGCTGCATCATCCCAGGGATGGAGTGATTATTTCTAGTGAAGCAATCAGGAAAAACCTTGTAGAGGAGATGGTATCGTTTCCACCAGCAGATGCCAGGATGAAGGGGATTATCCGAGGAGCAAAGCCTGGAGTTGAGAAAATTGCATTGCCCATCTAAGGCACGGCATCTCTGCCAGACACTTAGCTCTCTTGTGTTTAGCTGTGTCAGTTTCTTTTGCTGCCATAACACATGACTGCACATTAGAGGCTTAAGACAATAGGAGCTTACTATTTTGCAGTTCTGGAGATCAGGAGTCCTACAGGAGTCTCACTGGCTAAAATTAAGGTGTCAGTGGGGTTGTGTTCCTTCTGAGGCTCCACGGGAGAACCTGTTCCCTTGTCTTTTCCAGCTTCTAGAGCCCCCGCATTCCTCACTGTGTGGCCCCTTCCTCCATCTTCAAAGCCAGCAACATTGCAGCTCTCTGGTCTTTTTCTTTTTTTTTTTGCCTTTTATATCTTCTGTCACTATAGCTGGGAAAGATTCTCTAATTTTGAGGATTTGTGTGATTAGATTCAGTCCACTCAGATTAATACAGGGTAATCTCTTCATGTAAGGGTCTGGACCCTTAATGACATCTGCAAAGTCCCTTTTGCCACATCAGGTAACATAGCCACAGGTTCTGGGAATTAGGGTATTGACATCTTTAGGGAGCATTGTTCTGTCTACCATGGGATCTGTGTTGTAGAGACATAGTGGAGACTTTTTTTACATGTTTGTTGAGTGAATGAACAAACAAAGGAGTAAGAGTTCACCATGTAAGTCAAGAGAGAGTTGGGGGAGGGTATAGCTCAGTGGTAGAGTGGGTGCCTAGCATGCATGAGGTTCAATCCCCAGTACCTTTATCAAAAATAAGTAAATAAACAAAGAAACCTAATTACACCCATCCCAAGACAAACGAAAGAGTTGAGAGAGTGTACAGAAGATGAAGCTGGAGGCTTATGAAGTTTGAATTCTTTGGTTCACTGAAGCAAAACTTTTTTTCCTATTTTGTGACGGGGA